AAAATCTACAAAGAGCTGATGAGACTCAACAAAAACAAAGAAAATAATCCAGTCAAAAAATGGGCAGAAGAGCTAAAAAAAAACTTCTCTGAAGAGGAAATGCAAATGGCCAACAGGCATATGAAAAATGTTCAACATCACTTATAATCAGGGAAATGCAAATCAAAACTACGATGAGATACCATCTTACACCAGTGAGAATGGCACATATTAAAAAAACTAGTAACAGGGGCCTCCCCGGTGGCACAGCGGTTGAGTGCTGGGTTGCGAAGCTGCCCACAGCCTCTGCTGCGCTGGTTCGATCCCCGGATGCTCCCCGGCCACCAGAGGAGGGTCCCGCATGGCAGGGAGACATCTCCTGCTGGCCGCTGCTCCCCTCAGCAGTGTGCTTCGGTCCTTCTGCCTGCTCTGCTCCCAGCTCTGGCTCTGGTGAGTTCTCTCACTCTCCCGCGCTTCTGACTGTACCCAGTGCTTATGTAAATAAATAAACAAATAAATCTTAAAAAAAAAAAAGAAAAAGAAAATATCAAAATCAACAAACAACTATGAACCAGAGACACTCTATGGGGGTTGGGGGACAGGGAAAGGAGGGATTGGGGTCAAAATAAGGGGATTGTAATTGTATGGGGAATATAATAAAATAAAATAAGGGTGGGGTGCAATTGTATGGGGAATATAACCATAATGAAAATGCATACATTGTGCAAAGATGAAAAATGATGTAAGAATTACATAAAATAAAATATTAAAAAATTAAAAAATAAAAAGCTATTGTACCTCCAAAAAATTAACAGTAATAGAAATAAATATTTCTATTTATTAATAGAAATAAATTCAAACTGTACAAGGAGTAGGTCTGGATTAACAGAGCACATATAAAATGCCCTGAATACAACATTTTAGAGGTCATTTGGCAATATCTATCAAAATTTAAAATGCATGGTCATTACACACTGGAGCAATTATTTGATTCAGTAATTCTAAGAATTTATCCAATATATTTTTTGCACAAGTATGTAAAGATAAACACACTGAGAAATTTACCACAGTAGGATAATAGTGAAAAATTGTAAATAATCTAAAATATCTACAAAAGGTAATTGCTTTAAAAACAATTATGGTAGATCCATACAATCAAATAAAACTCAGCTTTTAAGAAACAAAGATCCAAAAAACAAGAAAAAATTAATTAAAATAAATTTAAAAAATCAATCAATAAAAAATAAGCATACATCTGGACTTCTGCTTCTAGCCACATGGAGTAATAGGGACTAAATTTACTGTCCCACCTGAAACTACTAAAACACTGGACTAAATTTGTGAAGAAAATGGTTTTCAAGCCATTTGGGCATCAGGCCACAAAGACCAATCATCCCTGCAAGATAAAAAACAAATAAGTTGAGCCCTTCTATTGCCCCAGTTTACTACCTAGAGATTTTCTGGGCCATGGTGCGGGGAGAGGAAACCCAGGTAGAAGCACAGCAATCTCCCTGAATTGATGGGAAGGAACTGAGAGTCTGAGGAAGAAGGGCATCTAGAATTCACAAAGCAGAGTACTATAGAGGAGAGAGCTACACAGAGAACTTTGAAGATCCTTCAAGGGCCTCTGCAGTCTCAACTGAATATTGAGCAGCACATTTATGTTAGGAAACCCCAGTCGTGGGCAGACTTTAAGATGGCCCAGTGTGCCCTATGCCTACACAATTTTACACATTGTGTAAAATCTTTCCATTAAGTTGAACTGGATTTCAGCAAATAGAATGTAGCAGAAGTGATGGGATATCACTTTTGAGATTAGGTTATAAAGAGAGTGACTTCTGTTTTGGGCACATTGTGTTCTCACTCCTGTGAAAGAAAGCTGCCATGTCATGAACAGGACTTATTAAGACACCCATAAGGATAAGCTTGCAAATGGCCATGCCAGTAAGTTGGAAGTTGTTCCCTTCTGGGTAAGCCTTCAGATGAGACCCACAACCCTCGCAGACAGCTACAATCTCAGGTGAACTTTAGCCAGAGGCACCCAGTTAAGTCATGGGCAAATTTCTGACCCACAGAAACTGAGAGATAAAAGTGCATACTGTTGCAAGCTTTAAGATAACTTATTACACAATAATAGACACTAACATACTACCCAAGGCTGAGGAAAGAACCATCCAAAATGATTAGAGGGTTAAGCCATCAGGGCTCACACAGGATCAGCAATAGTTTCTGTTCCCAACAGCTAAAATAAAAACCTGCACAAATCACAGGCACTATTGACTGCAGAAAACTCACATTGGTCTTGCCTCATGAATGGGGCAAAATTTTTATCTCTAGATTAAACACTTCTCTGATCCTCCCTAACAAAACCTTAAACGCCAGGCTTCAAGAGATCAAAATACTTTCAAGTAACTTAACTGTATCCCAGAACAATCTCAGGAAAATGCTAACCAAAGTCACCCCAAAGTAAGTGGGATGTCTAGCTCAAGCTCTCTTTTTTCCACTCCTCTCCTCTGCCTCCCTGTGTTGAATGCTCAGTTCTAATCTCAGGAGGGCTGGTTCCATCAGTAAAGCAATCTTTGTGGGAAGAAGCCTTGATTAATGCACAACTAATAATCTCAAAGGATTGGGAAGGGGTTAGTACTCAGTACGAGGTAAGACATAAAGATGCCTGGGTCACCATGAATGTCTGTCAAGGGTTTGAGCTCTTGACCCAAGTAGATGAGACCAAATATCTCTGGGAGGTAGAAGGGCAAGAGAAAGGAAATGCCACAATAATTGTAAACGGAAAAATTACTGCCCTGGAATCAGAAAGCCTGGTTATCATACTGGCCAGTTCTAGAGACCAGAAAGATGATGCCTGTGTCCAACCACATGAAATGAAGAGTGAGGAAGGTTGGAGACATTTATGAAGAGAGTTGGACCTGGGTTAGAATCCCAACTCTGAAGTCCTCCACTGCTTTATTATTACTATGTCCCTTAGACAAGTGATTCACTTCTCTGAACCTCAGTCTCCTCATCTGAAAAATGGAGATACAATCATACTTGCTTGAAGAGCTGTTGTGAGGATTATATAAGTATAAACAGCCACACTCAACACAGCATAACCAAAATCCCATCAACAATAACTGTTATTCATACTTATTACCTGCTTATTACATACTTATTACCATACTTATTTTCCCTGACTTCGACTTACGATTTTTCGCCTTTACTATGGTACAAAGTGACACATTCAATAGAATCTGAACATTAAATTCTGGGTTTTGATCTTTATCTGGGCAAGTGCTGTGTGTATGGATACTCTCTTATCACGCTGGCATGACAGCAAGCACAGCTCCCAGTCACCTATGCCATCACGGTAAACAACTGACACTTCAGACCATTTTTAACTTTTACTACAGTTTCAACAAATTATATGAGCGGTTCAACACTTTTTTACTTTTATTTTTAATTTACTTTTATTTTTTTAAAAAGATTATCTATCTATCTATCTATCTATCTATCTATCTATCTAGATATTTATTTATACAAGCACTGGGTACAGTCAGAAGCACGGGAGGGTAACAGAACTCACCAGAGCCAGAGCGGGAAGCAGAGCAGGCAGAAGGACCAAAGTACACTGCCGAGGGGAGCAGCGGGCGGCAGGAGGGCGTCTGCGCGCCATGTGGGACCCTGCTCCACAGGCTGGGGAGCAGCCGGGGATCGAACCGGCGCTGCAGAGGCTGCCGGCAGCTTGGCAACCCAGCGCTCAACCGCTGCGCCACCGGGGAGGCCCTCAACACTTTTTTGTAAGACAGGCTTGTGTTAGATGATTTTGTCCAACTATAGGCTATTATCAGTGTTCTAAGTACATTTAAGATAGGCTAGGATAAGTAAGTTAGGTATATTAAATGCATTTTCAAGTCCTGATATTTTCAACTCACAATAGGTTTATCAGAACATAACTCCAAGACTTTGATTATGATTTCAATGGGGTTAACGATCACAGAAGAGAAATACAGAGTACTTTGATGGGATATCATGGGGAATGGAAGATCCAATCTGAGAAATCTCATCCTCTCCGAAGGAGGAAGAGATGTTTAGTCTAACATCTAAATAAAGAAGAGAGCTGGACAAAAACAAACAAAAAAGGACAGGGGTTTGGGAGCAAGCCTGTGTGAAAGCCTGAGGCAAGGAGTATATGGCTACCAGGGGGACTGAAGCAGCAGAGAGGAAAGGCTGAAATGGAGGCTGCAGAGGCGGGCAGGAGCCTGCCCTGGCAGGGTGGGCTGGTTAGAAGAAGGGTTGGTAGAAGAAGGGATAAAACCAGACATCCTATTGCAACAGGGTGGTCCCCAGGAAAGGGGGAGGTTCCCTGCCCCACCCAAGGGAGGGTGGAGCTGAGCAGGAAGAGGAGAAGCTGCAGAAGAGACTGAGGAAGGAAGGAAGCAGGATGGAGCCAGGAGACCTGGAGAAGGCACATGGAGCCTAGAGACACGTGAAGAAACTGCGCTTGTCTTTTGGTCGTGGACTGGGTGACACAGATGTCGGTGAGACCCGTGGGGAGGTGACAATGGCAGCTTTTATCTTGATGTTGATTTTGCTCTTTTCCTTTCGGGCTTGTCCGGTTGTTTGTGACCCTTTTCTGTGGGTCCCCACTGGAAGATGCTTTAGACTTGTGGCAGGCTTTGGAGCTTTGCTCTGGGCCAATCCCATTTGGATGGACTTTTACCCACGAGGGGACGGGTAACTTTGGATGCTTGATTTAGAAACTAGATTATTTGCCTTACCTGTATTGTTTCCTAGTTTTATTAAAGTTCCTTCCCATTAAAGTCTCATATGTGTTGATGCGGCGGATGGCAGAACCCATTTAGAATAGGCAGGTTTGCGGGGTTTGGGCTGCCCCTCTCTCTGTCCTATAACACTATGGGCCTTTCTATCTCTAGATTTCTAAGATTCTATGGGCTAGGAACTGGAAACAGAATGATACCAGGATCCTCCTGTTGTGCCACAGCTGCTACCAGATGTGGATGTCTTACCAATATGGTAGGTCTTTAGAGGTTTGTCATCTATCAGCTGCAGATGCTGCCAGATCCACTTACAGTAGGAAGAGGAGGCTGACAGGTCTATCAGCCTCAGGACTTCACAGCTGCCCTGGAGGCATCAAGAGACATAAACAGAAGGGTTAACTCCTAAGGTTTCAGGAAGGTCAGGCTTTGAAGATACACTCTTGGAATTGCTTCTTATCCAATGTTTTTTATTTGCGTAATGCAAGTTTGATTACAGGTTCTCTCTTTGTCTTTTTTTTTTTTTTTTGGTGAAAATACAGTGTACTCATCATAAAAAATTCAAATAGCTAAAGAGGCATAAGAACTAAATATAATGTGGGCACTGGGAAAACAATCACCTTTGAGGGTGTTTTTAGGACAATTAGTGAAATTGATCATGGACTGTAGAGCATATATTATTTCTTTTATTTTTTTAAGATTTATTTATCCATACAAGAACCGGGATACAGGCCAGATATATGGGAGAGTGAGAGGACTCAACAGGGACAGAGCAGGGAACAGAACAAGCAGACTGACAAAATACACTGCTGAGGGGAGCAGTGGGCTAGACAGGAGAGGTCTGCCTTGCCATATGGGCATCTCCGTGGACGGCGGGATCCAATCAGCACAGCAGAGGCTGTGGACAGCTTCACAGTGCTGCGCTCAACCGCCTGTGCCACCAGGGAGGCCCGAGCATATATTATTTCAATGCTAAATTTCCAGATTTTGATTATTATTCTGAGATTAATTATTCTGACCTTTGAAAATAATCACTTAAGTGTATAGGCGTAAATAAATAAGATAAATGAAACAACTCTCAAATGATTCAGGCAGGGAAAAATATATATATAAAGAGCAATTCTAACAATATTAACAATTGATGACTGGTTAAGGTTATACAATAGGAGTTCTTTGTACTGTTTTTCAACTTTTCTATAAATTTAAAATCATTTCAAAACTAAATTTAAAAATTATTCAAACCAAACAGAAGAACATAGGGAAGTTAAAACTATATCAATCCTAACACCCAAAAATAACAAGCAGTTTTTCTATGGAAATGAAATAAAAAGAAATAACAAGAAGAAAGTTTTTGGTGATTTTATGTCAAGCATTTTTCTATAAACGTACAAGATGTATATATAATTTTTCATAAATGTTTTATGTAAAACAGACTCATAACCTTTTTGAAAACTCAATGATCAAGGAATCTTGATTCTATATTATTGTTTTTTAATGATTAGATATTATTCTATGTCATAATTTACATAAAATTAACAAATTTTGATTGAGCAAAAACAGTCAGATGCAAAGAGCACATGCATTACTGCATGATTCCATTTACATAAAGTTCAAGCACAGGAAAAAGTAATCTGTGGTGACAGAACCAGAAGAGAGGTTACCTTCAAGGAGGAATTTTGTCTGGGATAGGGTATGAGGGAGCCTTCTGAGTGCTAGAAATGGTCTCCCTTGATTTGAGTGATGCTTATAAGGTGCATATAAATGGATTGTTTATAATCACAATATAATCTAGATCATTCTAATATAATTCCCATGTTTGATTATCTGTTTAGGATTAATTCCTAAAGGTATGCATGTTTTAAATTTTGATATACATTGCCAAACTACCCTTTAGAAATATATTCTTGTATTACACTGACAACTGTTTTTCACAATCCTTTTAATCTTTCTTAATCTGATAGACAAGAAAGATATGTCATTTTTCTTTTTTAAAGACTTATTTTTATACAAGAGCTGGGGTACAGGCCAGAGGCGCGGGAGGGTGAGAGGATTCACCAGAGACAGAGCAGGGAGCAGAACAGACAGAATGACTGAAATACGCTGCTGAGGGGAGCAGTGGGCGCAACAGGAGAGGTCTGCAGCACCATGTGGAATTCTCTCCGGCCGGCCAGGATCGAACTCACGCTGCAGAGGCTGGACAGCTTCACAGCACGGCGCTCAACCTGCTGCGCCACTGGGGAGGCCCGAAAGATATGTCATTTTTCTTTTTATTTGATTTCCTTACAAAATCTTCCCCTTCTTATAGGAAACCCAAGACATGTTATAAAGGTTCAAGACAGATTACTGTTATTGAGGAAGGGGAAGAATGGATCAAACATTTAATAAACCTTTATTATATGCCAGGCCTTGTACTTGGAACTTCATTCAATATTCATTCAACAAACATTTGCCAACTGAAACTGCAGGTACGAGAGAAACACATGTGAACAGTTTCCTCTTGGAAAGTCTGTGGTGAGTCTTTAATCACATCTCTATCGGTGGTGCAAACAATGTCATTTGTGTCTCCAAATGATAAACTATTCAAAGTGAGTTGATTATGGGCAATAATTGTTTGTGATGCCTGGAGGAAATAAATTACGGTCTCCAACATTCCCAGGTCCAGAGGACTCCTGGCCACCTGCTGATGATTTTGCCCTCTAGTGGCAACATGCATAAACTACAAGAGTTGGGATAGCCCCTTCTTAGCAGATAAGGAAGGTTTACAGTAAAATGGTATTACCTACATGGCTATTCACCAAAGCACTTTGAAGTAGCAGATTCAGGCAAGCTAAATATACATCAATAGGGAGCTGGTTGAATTAAAGCAAATCATACAGTGAAATACTACACAAGTGGTAGTAATGAATGAGTTTATAAGTTGACAGGGAACAATCTACAGGAACATTCTTAAGTGAAAACTGCAAAGTGCAGCACAGTCTGTGTAGCACGCCACCACTGACCCAGAAGTGGGGAAAACATATACACACCCATTTGCTTAAAATATGCAGAGACTATGTGCAGGACAGACACATAAGAGACTAGTGACAGCGGTTGCCTCTCGGCAGGAATACTGGGTGGCAGGGGAAAAAGGTGAGAGGGAGACATCACTCTTAAATGTCTTGAATTTTGAATATTACAGATTTCAAAATAAAAAAAAATCATGCTAGTAGTATCTGTGTGTGGCACAGGAACAGAGTCTCAAAAAAACAGTAGTCTCAAAAAACTGGATAATAGGGGGGCGGGTTTGACAGAAAGGTTAACTCAAATCCCAAGCCCCAGAAGCCCTTAACTCAAGTCACCTCTGCCCCTCATTACTGGACAAGCCCCTTAACTTTCCTGTCCCTTGGTTTCTACCTCTGTAAAATGACAATACTAATTTGGGGGTGTGGGGCTTCCATGAGGCTGAAAAGAAATGACACATGTGGAGCAAAGAATATGGTAAACAGTAAGTTCACTATAAATATAAATGTTAGATTTTTTAATCATGATCAAGCAACAGACAAGTTGGCAAAGGACATAAGACAATTTGCAGGTGACAAAATTTAGCAAATAAACATGACTGATCTCACAATTGATCAGAAATAGTATATACTAGGGCCTCCCCGGTGGCGCAGCAGTTGAGCGCTGGGTTGCGAGGCTGCTCCGCGGCCTCTGTGGCGCCGGTTCGATCGCCGGCTGCTCCCCGGCCACCGGAGGAGGGTCCCACATGGCGCGCAGACCTCTCCTGCCGCCCGCTGCTCCCCTCAGCAGTGTACTTCGGTCCTTCTGCCTGCTCTGCTCCCTGCTCTGGCTCTGGTGAATTCTCTCGCCCTCCCGCGCTTCTGACTGTACCCAGTGCTTGTATAAACAAAACAAACAAACAAACCAGCAAACAAATAAATAAAGCATGCCTCTATTAAAAAAAAAAAAAAAAAAGAAATAGTATATACTAAATAAGTTCTCAGTAAGGTAACAATTGCTGTCTATTAAATTAGAAAATCTTCTGGAAGAATAACTGACAGACAGGAAAAGGTTTGGTGGCACTAGAGAGTGGTGCATTTCTGGAAGCTAGATAAAGTAGATTCCTCCTTTTGGAAAGCAATTTGTTCCAAGAGCAATAAATACTGATGACACCAAGCAATTCCACTCTTGAAAAATCAACTCCGGTGATAAGCTTACAGATGATTTTTTTTCCTTCTTTCCAGAATGTTTTATGAAGTGGTCACATTACTCTTAAAATTTACAGATTATAATTTTTAAAAGTTCTTTGGCATCATAAAGATTTAAGAACCAATTGCTTAGGGCCTCCCCGGTGGCGCAGCAGTTGAGCGCTGGGTTGCGAAGCTACCCGCGGCCTCTGCAGCGCCGGTTCGATCCCCGGCTGCTCCCCGGCCACCAGAGGAGGGTCCCACATGGCTCGCAGACCTCTCCTGCCGCCCGCTGCTCCCCTCAGCAGTGTACTTTGGTCCTTCTGCCTGATCTGCTCCCTTCTCTGGCTCTGGTGAATTCGCTCACCCTCCCGCGCTTCTGACTGTACCCAGTGCATGTATAAACAAAACAAACAAATAAATAAATAAACATGCCTCTATAAAATTAAAAAAAAAAAAAAGAACCAATTGCTTAACTTAAATATGTATTTGTCTATAAGGAAACATATATAAGCTCAAGACGGGGAGATCTACTAGCCCTCTTTCTAATAACTATCTTAAAGTTCACAACAACCCTCTGAGGGAGGTAGGCCAAATTGTGTTGTTTGTCTTTTATAAGTGGGACATGGATGCTCAGAAAGGTGTGTTTTAGAACAAGGATGCTCCCAGCTTTGCCACCCCCACCCTAGCCATCTTACCTTGCAGATGAAGATGATGGAGGATGATTCTACAAAGTCTTTTGTGATCACCTGCCCATATGAGAATTTCTCCACCTTCCCTAGACTTGCAAGCTTCCAGAGCTTTTGGTCTGACCATGACTCAAAGAGACCCAGGCCCCTGCAGGCAAACATCTGTTAAAATTCATCGCCTTCCATCAAAGAAGGTGCCCAGCTCTTAGCAATTTCCAAAAAGAGAACATGTTCTCTTTCTATTGAAAATCTTGAAGCAGATTTCATACCCTCTTCAATTAACTAGCCTGTAGCCACTCTCCTACCACATGTCACATTTCCTCCTCTGCCTTTTTCTTAAGGACTGGCCTGGCCTGCTTTCAATATGGGTAGTTCATTCTAGTCACTCAGCCCTGGGTCTGAGGAGTGGAGGACATCTAGACTCTCCTCCTTTGCCCATTTGTTCCCTGTGACCAAAAGCCCACAGTGACAGCCAGTATCCCTGACCTCACACAAGCCACTGGGCTCGCCTTCACTCATTCAAGGACTCTAGCAATCATCTCAGATTTTCTTAGCTCCCCAGACTGTGTATTCAGAACTCAGGTGACTCAGGCCAAAGGGGAGCATGGTCAATGCCATCTACAGAGGAGGAGAAGGCTGAAGACATAGGAAGGAAAGTGGGACCACCATAGGAGTACCTCCTATGTGTGTGTCTACCACCGGACCACACATATTCTGTGATGACCTTGGGAGACATGATCTACATTTTACAAAGCAGGAGCCTGAAACTCAGAGAAGTGAACTAATCTATTTGGGCTCAATAGCTCAGAAGCCCAAGAGCTGACATTGAAACCAGTCTTACCTTTCCAATGTATGAAAAAATAAACTGTGCCCCTTCATGACTAGTTTCCCCCTTTTCAGGGTCCACCCCTGAAGCTCTCTCAGCTCTGGTCCTCCAGACCTTAGGGTCCATCAAATTTCTCTATAATCATGCAACCCCCAACCAGTGTTTTCAGTGCCAGGGCAGATACTTCATTTGGTTGTCACTCTTTTCTCTAACAGTGAGTAACTAGATAATTTAAATGAGCCCCTGTATGTGCCTGCCAACACAGGGATGACAAAGGGAAAGAGGCAGCTCTAGCCTTGCCATCACATCTCTTATTATCTGATGAGGTAAATATACTGTAAATGAAGTATTATGGAATCAAGAATTACATTTAGATGGGTTTTTAAGGAAACACAACAGAAGCATCAAGGGGGGTTAGTGAGGTAGGTGGTGAAGCCCAGGGATGTCTGAATCAGACTTTCTGGCACATCAGCATCCTGGGCCTGGTTCCTTTACTTACAGCCTGGGGAGAAGAGAAATGGCATCATGGGTCAGCCTGTGAGACTTGATAAAGCAACTGGTACAATAGGCTTAGCAACTAGCCGGGCCCAGCTAGTGCTCAGTACATGTCAGCTGATCTTATTCTTATGATCCCAAAGGAAGAGATTTTGAGCTGAGATCAGGAGGTATAGTAGGACTTTGCTAGACAGAGAAGTTGGGTGGGAGTAGGTATGGAAGAGCATTTGAGGCAGAGAGAAGAGCAAGCACCTGGTGTTTCCCACCCAATAAACACATGGGGAAGATGCTGACTGATGATGGAATTACCTAAAAAATTCAAACCGTTGCTGAGCATCCTTTTCAACTTCCTGGACCATGTTGTTAGCAAGGAAATCCTCTCTGTCAATAACCAAGAACTCTGTTTCTTCCATACAGACCACGGTGGCCCTCCTTAATGAATTACTCAGAAGGCCCTTTTCCTATTGGGTGGAAACAGGGGCAAAGGCAAATGAGAGGCCATTTCCAGCTTCCTGATTGCAAGCTTTACACCTCTTTCCTGCTTCCATCTCCCCCAGAAATCTCTCCTCCACGGAGATTTTTGTGTGAGAATGCTTGCCATGCATGCTGCTCCCCCTCCCAATTCTGTGGGCCCATTCTGCTCCCCCTTGATGTACAGCTTGTGGAGAAGGCGGCAACAGGCCCACCAGGCCAGAGGAGAGGAAGCTGGAGAGACCTGCTGGGGGCATCACTACATCTCTAAGGAACTGATGATGAACGTACTCCTTAAATATTATAAAGAGGTCACCCTGGCTATCAAGGCACCGGGATCCACAACAGGGTAGGGTCTTGCACCAAATATAAGGTTCGACAGGGCCTGGCCAAGAGATTCTAGCAACAGTCTTGTCATAGTCCCCAGCCCATACCAGGCCCTTCCTCCACACTTACCCCAAAACTGTTGCCCTTGTGCAGCAATGTCGGGTGAGGGTCCAGGAAGGCACTGCTGCCATCCTCATCCTCAGTCACTGCAACCGTGCCCAGGTAGATAAAATAAAAGCTGCTGCCCCTCTGCCCCTTCTTGACTATCACACGCCTGCGACCAAACCTAGGAAAAGACCAGCCAGTTGACTTGATAGCAGCATGGAGCTGTATCAACACTATGTAGAGATCTGGACTAGTCGTGCTCTTTGCTCTCGGGGGGTGAAAGAACATACTGGGACTAGAAGGGGCCTCAGAACAGCCCAGCCCCATCAAGCTTGACCTCTTCATTAGCATACACCCAGCTGCCTACAACCATTAGACTGAGAACAGAGCCTTTGGCAGTCTGCTTAGGCACACAGTAAATGCTCAATGAACAGTCAGTGAGTACATGAATGAATAGATGCTGAAAGCAATGAGTGTAGCTAAATGATTAAGAGCTCTGGCTTTAAATTCTACAAATTGCCAAGCAGATTTGCTGAAAGGGTATTAATATTTTTTTGTGTGAGGAGAGGCCATACTGGCTCATTACTGATGTGTTCAAAGTGAAACTTCCTAGGAAGAAAAAAAAATTTAAAAATCAAATCAAACTTCACATATCAAAATAAAGGACCTACATACTTTTCATTTAAAAAAAAAAAAATCTCTGGATTTAAAGTCTGATCAGCATCCAATACTGGTTCTGCCCCTAGCTGTGTGTGACTGGGCAAGTCATATTCCCTCTTTGAGCCTTAGTCTGTAAAATGCAGATGAGCATGCCAAGAAAGACAGATAAATAATTTTATTATGATTCCCCAATAGCTTCCTACCCAACTCAAAACCCTTAAGGTAGTGGTGCCCAGGTCTAGAGTAAACTGGGAATTAGTTCTTAATCTCAGAGGGACATTTCTGTATTCCAAATGCAAGCTCAAACATTTCTATGTTCATTCATTTACTGCATTCATTCAATAAGCTAAATGAGCACCAGCTATGTCTGTCTGGCCCAGTTATGAAGGACACAGATTTTGTTCTCAAATTTGTGGTCAAGCGCAGGAGGTAAGTAAGGTTTAAAGAGGTATTGAGAAAAGTAAACATGAGCTTATTTAGAGATACAGAGAAAAAGGTATTTAACCCAGTTTAGGGAAACCAGAGAAAACTCTTGGATGGTGTCTGGAATCATCCAGGTGAGCACAGAAATTGAGGAACATGGGGGACAGGGACCACCATATCCAAAGATACAGAGGTGACTGGAAGCATGGCACAAAGGATAACTGCATGATTCATAGAGAGGGAGGGGGGAGATGGGAGGTTCTCGGGGAGGAGAGGGAGAGAAAAGATGGGCTAAGTTTGTATTTTACCTAGAAGATGCTAAGTAGCCCAGAACTCTGCCTTTGAGTTTCTGCCATGGTCTGATGAGTCAGTGGCCTTTGTAGATAAGCCCCAATGATTAGGTGAAATGTTTTCCAGATCAGTACCATTTCTCCTTCCCCGCACCTCACTGCCACCTCCCATTCCTTCCTGACCAACAGGCTTCGCCAGCAACAGGAGAGCCAACCCTCTGCTCAGACAAGTGATACTCTATTTGTTCCATTACTTTGTCCACACTGCTCAGCTGTCTGATATGGCCTTCTCTCTACCTATTCAACTTCTTTCAGGAGCTCAAGGTCCAACTCAGGTCCTTCTTCCAGGAAGCCCTCCCTAACCCAGTTCAGAGCAGAGTCTTCCTTTTTGAGCTCCCAGAACATCACTGCCCTCATGACCCTATGGCAAACACCTGGGGGGAGGGATCAGAGGACAGACTAATGATCACATTAGCTAGTCAGCAGCCTCAGGCTCCCCTGTGGGCTTATTCAGGTATAACATATAGGCTTTATTAATTGTAGGAAAGGAGAAATAGCCCAGATGACAATGACTAGATGGATGAAAGTAGGCATATTTAGCCAGGACATGAGATTTGGGGAATTAGGGAGCACAGGCCAGTGTTCCTTCAAGAGTAGTCTCCTAGCTGGACCAAGAAAGACCCTCTAGGGCCTCCCAGGTAGCGCAGCAGTTGAGCGCTGGGTTGCGAAGCTGCCCACAGCCTCTGCAGCGCGGGTTTGATCGCCGGCTGCTCCCCAGCCACTGGAGGAGAGTCCCACGCAGACCTCTCCTGCTGCCCGCTGCTCCCCTCAGCAGTGTTCTTCGGTCCTTCTGCCTGCTCTGCTCCCTGCTCTGGCTCTGGTGAATTCTCTCACCCTCCCGCGCTTCTGACTGTACCCAGTGCTTGTATAAATAAACAAATAAATAAATCTTAAAAAAAAAAAAAAGAAGTGTTTTAAAAAAAAAAAGAAAGAAAGAAAGACCCTCTAGTTCAATCTACCTTTTTGAAAGTGGGGCCCAGGGAACTGAAATGACTGACAGGTGAGGCAGCAGTAGGCCTCTCCTATAGCAGACATCTACTATTTTTGCTGCTAAGTATCTGGCCACCTTTTTCCAACCGTACCCTGATTTTGCTTTAAGAGAAACATACTTTCTTGACTGTTAGACAATCAGCATGTAACTGACCCAGTGATGATTCAAGCAAAGTCAATCTAGTTCTGAAAGAACTATACCCAAGACTCTGACCTGAAGGATTGGGAAGTGGTAGTCTCTCTTTCTCAATGGACTGAAACAGGAAAGATGAAAGTTTGGAGGTGTGGCAGCCATCTCATCACCATGAGAGGAGAATCTGGCTTAGAAGAAAGCTTATACAAATGAAGTACCAAGAGACAGACAGACACTGTGTCTTAGTGACAATGAACCCCTGAATCCAATTAAGCCTGAAGTTTAGAACTATCCCAGAATTTTCAGGTGATGAGCCATGCATTCCCTTGGGCTGCATCTTCTGTCATTTTCAATTGGAAGAATCCTGTCTAATCTGCTATTCCCCAATCCTAGAAATAATCAACAACTAGTAGTTATCTTTAATAATCACTCTGATTTTCATAAAAACCCTGCAAAATCCATACTATCATCCTCATTTCACTGATAAGGAAGCTGAGTGACTTGCCTTGAGTTCACACCCACACACTGAGGTAGACAGGGCATTAAATTCAAGCATCTGGGCCTCCCCAGTGGCGCAGCAGTTGAGCGCTGGGTTGCGAAACTGCCCGCGGCCTCTGCGGCGCCGGTTCAATCCCTGGCTGCTCCCCGGCCACCAGAGGAGGGTCCCACATGGCGCGCAGACCTCTCCTGCCACCCGATGCTCCCCTTAGCAGTGTACTTCGGTCCTTCTGCCTGCTCTACACCCCACTCTGGCTCTGGTGAATTCTCTCACCCTCCCACGCTTCTGACTGTACCCAGTGCATGTATAAACAAAACAAACAAATAAATAAATAAATAAACATGCCTCTATAAATAAATAAATAAATAAATTCAAGCATCTAACTCTGTGATTCTTTTGCTTTCCATGATATCATTCTGCCTGCCATAGAATCTTTACGACAGTAGGGACAGGCTCTTTCATTGGGCTAGAATAAAGCAGAGGGTTCCCTCTGCTGGGAATGTTCTTGTCTACATCTCCACTTGTCCAAGGGCCATGCCCCCACTCACCGTTCAAAGCGCATGACTTTGGCCAGCAGCATCTGGAGGGACTCCGAATAGTTTCGGAAGCTATCCAGAACCTGCAAGATGTTGCAAAGGGACTGGATCTCCTCCTCTGTCCTCCAGGAAGGCTTCTTCAGTGCAATCTGGATTGCCCTTGGAGGCAAGTGACCCTGTGGAGAGAGGACCAGAATAACACACACAAGACATAGTAGTCTCCCAGGAGCCATGGGACAACTCCCCACACACTCATGCTTTTATGCTTTCCCATTCCCCATGCAATAGTGGCTGGCATGAAATGAGGACTTATTCTAGGCCAGGAATTGGAATACACATCTCACACACACCATCTCACTACATCTTCACCCTACCAAAGAATGAGGCACAATTTTTATTCCCACTTGACAGATGAAGTTACTCAGACAGGACTATAACCTAGATCTGCTATATGCCAAGACCTGTAAACCCAACTACTGACCATACTGTCTCTACCATTCATTGACCACCACCCTCTAAGGCAATTTGGGGCTCTCTGGGCTCTGCGGCTCCTCAGGACAGTACTCACTGTAACAAGGGTGAGTCAAACTATACTTCAGCATGCCACAAGAGACTAATGAACAAAGAGAATCTACAGAAACTATGAGCTAACCCTGGTGGAGAGATTCATACACCAGTGGGTGGGCAGACCTACCCATTCACCCACCATGCCATTCTTGCCTGATGGAAAATGGTATGAGTACATACCACACACACACTGGCTGTACTTAGGATAAAAGCTTAGCTCCATACCACAGTCTTTGGGCTACACATGGTCTGACTTCCTGCCTCCCTAGATCCCTACCTCAACTTCTGTCTCTCCCCTTCATTCTCTAGTTTCTAGCTTCTACCTATCTCTTGTAGATCTTTACCTGGAATGTTCCTCCCCTGGATTTTCACATGGATATGCTGCCTCTACCTCCTCATTCTGCTCTCAGCATCTGTGCTGCCACATCTTCAGGGAGAGCCTGCAGCACCATCAGAGCTAAAAGAGCGGTCCCTTCCTACACTCTGTAGACTGTCATTTTCTTTAAAGCATTTATGTACATAGTTGTCAGATTGCAGACATAATTGCTTTTTTAAAATTCACTTTTTAAACTATGTTTTTGAAGTGTATCCATTGTTTCCAATACTTCACAATTGAACAATAAATGAATCTATGATTAGAAGGCTCTATAATTATATTTTTTGAAAAGTTTTTAGTATTAGTAGAGGTCTAATAAGGGCTATATTGAGGTTCAGTAACAATTCAAGTGCTTTTCTAAGGGACAGGTTATGTACATATAAGTGTATGTATCAGATTAAGATATAGCTCACATACCATAAGATTCACCATTTAAGGAAAACAATTCAATGACTTTTAGTGTATTCACAAAGTTATGCAACTTTACCACAATTGATTTTAGAACTCCAAAAGGAAAGGTGTCTCTATTAATAGTTACTAAAGGGGCAGGTTTTTATTTTTTCTTATTCAATTAAGGTAACATGAGTTTACAACATTGTAGAGGTTCCAAGATTCATTTTTCTCACCACTCCCACCACCGAATGTCCAGTCACCATCCACCACCAACCAGCTGGCCCCTTCTACCCACTCCCTTCCGTCCTTCACCTCAGGTCACCTCCATTCTGTTGTCAAAGTCTAAAGGTTTTTATTTTTTGTTTTCTTTATATTCAACAAATGAGTGACATTGTATAGTATTTGTCTTTCTCTTTCTGACATTTCACTTGGCATCATCCCCTCATGGCCTATCCATGTTGTCAAAAATGATAATATTTCACCTTTTTTATGACTTGAATAGTATTCCACATCTTCTTTATCCACTACTCCGTTGTTGGGCACCTGCACTGTTTCCATATGTCGGCTACTGTGAATAGTGTTAAAATGAAAATAGGGATGCTTGTCTTCTTGAGTTAGTGTTTTCATATTCTTTGGGTAAACACCCAGAAGGGAGATTACTAGATCATATGGTAGTTCTATTTTTAATTTCTTGAGGAACCTCCATACTGTTTTCCATAATGACTATACCAATTTACATTCCCATCAACAGGGCATGAGGGCTTCTTTTTCTACACATCCTCACCAACATTTATTATTTCTTGACCTTTTGATAATAGTCATTCTAACCAATATGAAATAAAATCTCAATGTGGCTTTTATTTGCATTTCCCTAATAAGTGATGCAGACATCTCTTCATATGTATTTTGGCCATCTGTATATTTTCTTTGATGAAATGTCTGTTTAGATCCTCTGTCCATTTTTTAACCAGGTTTTTCTTCCAAAAAAAAAAAAGAAACACTACACTGTCTTTCAGAACTAATTTTTAAATAATAAAAATATATGAAGAAAAAAAATGGCCTAAGTAGGATGGACTTCCTACACAGGACATACTATATCACCTCATGAGATTTTATTTTATTTATTTTTTATGCATGTTCTACATCAAGTTCTATCTGGATTTTGTTATTTTGTTGTTGTTTTCTCTTAACTATAATTACACTTTTATTTATTTAAGAGTATGGACTGACATTTATTGAAAGCAGTAACCACACTGAGATGGTTTTCACTGATTATTTTTGTTTTGTTTTGTTTTACATTTTAAAAGGACAGGTTTATTAGGAAAGGAAAGGAGAAGACACTTGCACAGATACAAGTGGGCAGAAAGAGCTGCTGCTGCTGCTGCTGCTGCTTTGCAAAGGGAAAGGTTTGTGAAAAGAAACACCTGCAGTCACAGATGGGCAGAAGACATGCCCAGTGATTATTTCTTTAAATTTTCTATACCTTTCTCTTTTGCTTTTCTAGGACCCTCATGATATGGATATTATTTCTCTTTACATTGTCCCAGAGAGCTTACACTGTTTTATTTAATTAATTTTTCTCTACATTGTTCTGTTCTTGTGTTTCCTATTGCCTCGATTTGTCTGCTATTGAGGCCCTCAATTGTATTAAAATTGGTTATAGTGTTTCTTAGCTTTGTTATTTCTACCTACAGCTGCTTCCTATTTTCCTTCTTTATTCTGTTGTTTTATAGTCTCCATTATATTTTCGAGTTCTATCAGCATTGCCACACCTGTTGCCCTAAATTCCCCTTCTGTCTTGCTCCACAACTCCACTGAGTTGGGCTCCTTTTGGGGATTTTTTGCTTTGGCATTTGTGATGTGTTCTTCTGTTCCCCCAATTTCAATTTTGTTTCGGTTTTATTAGGAATAGATTTTCAACTGTTGTATTTGCATCTGTTGGATTAATTTGGGGACTAGTCCTAACAAGGAGTAGTGAGTATAGAAGAGGACCAGGACAATGTGTACCAAAGGGTCTTCTCCAGTAGATTCAGGAATTTGAACTTTCTGTTGTGCTGTGGGTGCCAGAGCTGTGTGCTAGGCATCCACACTGATCACCTCTTCCAGACCAGCTCCTCAGTCTCAGTGTCTCCAGGCTAGGACTTGTGTTCTTTTTTATCCCAGCACAGTCTTATCCTGGGGTGTCTTCTCCCTCTATTGGTAGGTGCTTGAACTCTATAGTTTGTTCAAGCATTTCTTTGTGGGGGTTGGCAGAAGGCTGAGATATCTCAACCTGGGGTGGGAGCTCACAGGTATTTCATATATCTCAGCCTTGGCTTTAAGTAGTAGTCTTGGGCCTCCCTGGCAGCCTAGGGTTTGAGTCGCAGCACTATCACCACTATGGCCTGAGTTCAATTCCTGGAAGCTAACCTACATATGGCACAGCAGACCTCTCCTGTTTCACCCGCTGTTCCCTTAGCAGTGTATTTCAGTAAATCCACCCACTCTATGGTGAATGCTCTCACACCCACCCTCACCCCAGACTTCTGGCCTACACTCCAGTTCTTCTATGCAAACAAAAAGTAGTCTCTTTTACAGGGAAATCAATTTATTATGACCCAATTTAGGTTACTGCTGTTCTTTGTTATGAATCTCAGATTTTCAACAGTGTTTTCTTTGTTTGTTTTATATTTTCTTTTTTTATTTAAATTTTATTTTTATATTCCCCATACAATTACAACCCTCTTATTTTGACCCCAATCCCTCCTTTCCCCGCCCCCTAACCCCCATAGAGTGTCTCTGGTTCATAGTTGTTTGTTGATTTTGATATTTTCTTTCTTATAGTTATTAGTTTTCAGTGTATACTTTCCTTCACTTCCTTGGTTAAATCTATTCCTAGATACTTTGTACTTTTTGCTATGATTGTGAATGGTATTGTTTTCATTTCTCTTTCTGCTACTTCATAGTTTGCATAGAGAAAGTAACAGATACTTGTATACTGATATTGTAACCTGCAACTTTACTGTATTGATTTATTGTTTCTGATAGCTTTTTTGTGGATGCTGTAGAATTTCCTTTGTATAGTATAATAGATATTATATAATATTATCTGCATATAATATCATTTGGGTATAGTGACTTTTTTATTTCTTCATCTCCAATCTAGATATCTTTCATTTATTTTTTTTCTTTTTTTTTTTAAGTTTTTTTTTTTTTTTATAGAGGCATGTTTTTTTATTTATTTATTTATTATATTTGTTTGTTTTGTTTATACATGCACTGGGTACAGTCAGAAGCGCGGGAGGGTGAGAGAATTCACCAGAGCCAGAGCGGGGAGCAGAGCAGGCAGAAGTGCTGAAGTACACTGCTGAGGGGAGCATCGGGTGGCAGGAGAGGTCTGCGCACCATGTGGGATCCTCCTCCGGTGGCCGGGGAGCAGCCGGGGATCGAACCGGCGCCGCAGAGGCCGCGGGTAGCTTCGCAACCCAGCGCTCAACCGCTGCGCCACCGGGGAGGCCCTAGATATCTTTCATTTATTTTTCTTGCCTTAGAGGGCAGGTTTTTACACTGGGTCTCTACGGAGGCTCCATCCCTATATTGGAGCCTGAGACAGACAAAGTTCATTCAAGAGACTGATAGGCCTTGCCTGTATGATGAATTTTTCTTTTGTGCTTTCTACTCTTCCTCTACTGGCACATACAGAATTACCTTCCTTTCTTGATTTCTGTGACTCTCTGAAAGGCCCCAAGTTTCTCCTGCCTAAAACTTAGGTTACTTCAAAGCCCATTTCAGATACTGGCTGGTCTGGAAAACTGAAACCCAAAATCTGAGTGACTTAGTTGTGCTCATAAATGATGGTGCATGAGAAATTACTTTATGCCTAGGAAAGGCAAGCAAAGGAAGCCATATCTTGGTTGCAGGGGGTGGGGGAAAGGGTCAGGGTGGGGTGGCATGAGGTGGTTCTGATACCAGTTATAAAGCTCTGTTCTCACTTTCCCTGAGACAAAAAGCAACATGGCAGGTCAGGGCTACATTGGTGAGAACTTAGACCTTCCCTAAAAATAGTTAGGCTCCTTTAAAATTTAAATACAATTTTAAGTTTTAATTTAACATCCAGAGAAAGAAGCTGACTTATGATTCTTCAAATTCAGTGAACAGGTTGCACAGTCCAAAGTCTCATCCAGACTTAAGGGAACTGACAGCCAGGTGGGGGTAGGTATGCCCAATGTCTCTGGAGAGTTTGGGGCAGGGTCAGAATTCAAACACAGGTCAAGGCTTTTGCTGCCATCCTGATTATTTCCACTCTTCTGGGCTCTCACACCCTCTACTTTGCCTCCAGTACTTTTCCATGAGTCCAAGTGCAGGAATTCTCCCCCGCTGGCACTGGCTCTGCTCAGCTATAAAGCAATGATAGGTTCAGGGTGCTCATGGTGTTGAACACCAAAACTGGAAGGGATCACTGAGGCCAGCTATTATATAATTTGGGAAACCAAGTGGCAATCTCCAGCTGACACATTGGGTTGGTGGCAGAACCCAAAATGAACCCAGCCACCCTAATGCCCAGCCCCAGTGCTTCTTCCAAGCCAAGATTAAGAAAATTCCCAACAGCAAGGTCAGAGCTATGCATACCTCCTCTGCAACAAACTCCATGGTATCAAATGTGATTCGACCTTGCTTCCTTTCCTGAAAAAAGGAAGGGGTGGAGAGAAAGGAGAATCAGCAAGATTGCTCTTAGAATTTTGCATCTGAAACCCTCCTGTGTACCTAGATCACAGGGATAGGCAGGAAGCCAAAGAAAGCTACAATCTCGGCTCTTATGTTCACCTTCACTCAAACCCCAAGTCATCACTTGGGCCTAGCATTGACAACATTTTATTGTAAAGGCAGAGAAAGATGGGGATGGAAGGAAAGAGAAAAGGATAAAGAGCTGAAGGACAGAGAGAAAAAGGAAGAGGGGAAAGAAGCAAATGAAAGGGAAAGTATAGAGGGGGAGAAAAAGAGGTTTTAAAAGGAACAAAAGATGTCAACCTTCATGACGTTTCAGTGACTATGTTAAGTAACCAGGCATAGTATATCTTCCTTGTCTTATTCCATGTCATCATCAGGACAAAGCAAATATTATCAAGCTATGTTTTGAACTTGAGGAGGATGAAGGCACTTGCCCAAGGATCACACGACCAGTAAATGGTTTCCATTTACAGTATGGCCAGGAGGAGGAGGTATAAGAGATCTAAGGAATAGACTCATCCAATCCTATCTCCTGACAGATGTACAGAGGATGTGCAAAAGAGTAGAGAAAGGTGCAAAGACAGAGACAGAAGACATGTAAAGGGAAGTGGGAGCAGGAAAGGTATAAACAAGACCTAACCACCATCCTGGGCAAACCAGGGCTCACATTCTCTCCTCCAGGACCACCTTACATCCTTGCCCAGAGACCACTCAAATCTCTGTCCTCTGCCTCATTTATAGCTTGTGTGTCCATTTGCTGCTTCTCAGGGAGACCAATGAAGGAAAGAAAGGGTGCTCAGAAAGATCCACATGCTACTGAAAGCCAGTCTATGATCTCTTCACCTTAGCCTCTGCCTCAGAACCTTAGCTCTCTGCCCAACTGCCATATGACTCTCATAGGCTGCCCTGGGAGGCTTTTACTCTGCTTAAAACCACCCTGAGTTGTATCACTAGGTTTAGCCTCACAGTATCCCTTGGTGATAAATCTGATTCTGATCTTCACTTTCCAACTACCCAGGCATCAGTCCAAGTCTTCTGGCAATCAAAGACTTGTGGTCTTCAGGGCCCATCACTTCATCACTACATGACACCTTGAGACATAATGTTTTTCCTAAGAACTAACCTCAGTTTCAGATTATACTTCTACATCCCTTCCCATCTCATGACCCAACTACAGAGAAGACTCTGGCTGCAGACTTGTTTTGTTTGACCAGTATAATGTCTTTAAAATATATTAATTGGAATGTCTTTAAATGGAACATATCCTTCTTCTCCAGAAAGCCCATAGGTACCCACTCCCTGCTACATCTTAAACTCAGCCTGATATACCTTTAGAAACCAATCTAAGGCCACTTATCTTTTCCCCCCATCACCAGCCATAGGCCTCTTGGCTACTCTTCAGAAATCATTTTGGGAAGTTTTTTGGAGTGAATCACTGGATGCAGGAGGGAGGTAGGAGTTGGACCCAATCACCCTTGACACAATATGAAAATGGACAGGGTTTGTCTAGGCATTGGCTGAGGAGAATTTGAAACCCTGGATAGCTGTGAATTCACCATTGGGAAGCCAGAACAAGTTAACAGAATGGTGATTAGCTTTTCTGAGCCAAAAATGGTTTCATGAACTACCGCTAGGATAAAACATTTGAAATTGGGATTGTCTAGAAAATCTAGAAAGCAGGAAACCATAATAAATAGGTGTAAATGTTCCTTTCTTGTTTAAGGGGGGGGGGCAGTAAAGAAGGTAGAGGAGATGAAGAGTTGGCATGCATCCAGAAAACCCCATCTCTACTGTGACTCCTGGATTGTTCTGGCTCTCTGTTGGGATGAAGATGGTTTCTTCTCACTCCCAGTGTTTTTTTCCATGTGGAGGGAGTTGTTCCAGCAGAACACAACTAGCCCCTCTCCTTCCACACTGACAGAATGACAAATTCCTTGCTGAATCTGGAAAGAGAAACTGGGCATAATTGTACGCTTCTCCTTCTAACTGAACTCAGATTCTGCTCTATCCTTCTCTGCCATTGAGTTTTAGGCAGCAGGCCCAGCTACTGTAGTGAAGGTTGTCTTGGTCTAGCACTGTCTTAATTCTGGGGTTCAGTATTAGGTAACGCTGTTGCCTGATGGTACAATGTAAGTGATATTCTCCAATATGTCTCATCATTACTGAAGTGACAGTTGGTCTCCCATCTGCTTTGCCCTTCATCTTATCTCTCAGTTCATTCAAAGCTTGGGCTCAGAAGTGGGGTGCTATTTATTGACATCTTTTAAACCCTCATCATCCTTCTAAGTCTAACTGCTTACATCCCAGATGGAGAAGAGAGGGTGCTTCCGTTGAGCAGTCTCAATGATCTGATATTCTCGGAATCCCCTGAGGCCTTGGCGGAACATTTTACACACTCGTATCATCACAATGATATCCAGGGTGAGCTGGTATAACCCCTGTGGGAACAAAACATGATCAGTGGAAGCCATCTGTTTTCAACAGTCAACAGCAAGTTGGATAGCAAACAAGATGAACAAAGTGATATGTAATAGGATTAGAGGCAACGGTGTGCTGGAGCCATGGTGACAGGTTCAGGAAGTCTTCAAATATTTTAAAATCATGTTGGCAACTTGAAATTGGCCACCATGGAAGTATTTATACCATAGAAATGGTCAACTACTATACATGGGGCCACCCCCTGCATCCCAGGAGGCAGATGTTAAAACAGTCATCAGTACACCATGAACTAAGTGTGCACCAGGAACTTCCGAAGGCCACTGAGTAGCATGTGCTTTGTTTTCTTGTTCTCATAACTGATGCTGAGTATCAAGATCTGGCCCTTGACTCCACATCCTGGTATCAATGTCTCTGGGTTTCTGCCAGTTACACTTAATATTGACATTGGTCTGACTGATGCCAGATGCACTTCTTAGTCTTCTTTTTGATCATCTTGGGTTTCGTTTCCTGAGGGGTCTGAGGGCAGCCATGGCATCGAATAGCAGATGGCTACCCTGAAAAGATTCTTTCTTTCTTTCTTTTTTTTTTTTTTAAAGATTTATTTATTTATTTATTTATACAAGCACTGGGTACAGTCAGAAGCGCGGGAGGGTGAGAGAATTCACCAGAGCCAGAGCAGGGAGCAGAGCAGGCAGAAGGACCGAAGTACACTGCTGAGGGGAGCAGCGGGCGGCAGGAGAGGTCTGCGCGCCATGTGGGACCCTCCTCCGATGGCCAGGGAGCAGCCGGGGATCGAACCGGCGCTGCAGAGGCTGCAGGCAGCTTCGCAACCCAGCGCTCAACCACTGTACCACCGGGGAGGCCCCCTGAAAAGATTCTTAACGTCACTAGAAATAATGGGAAAGTAAATAAGTAACAAAATACCTTTCTACACTTATCAGAATGGGGAAAGGAAACATGTCACAACCATGTTGGAGGGCAATCTGGCAACATTTGAAAAGCTGAGGATACTGTTTACAATCAAGGAATTATATGCAATACATGTACATACTTCAGAAAAACCATCACATGTTCAGGAAGAGATAGCCATGCTGCACATTGCCACCACACTGGCACATACTAACAGTGAAAAGCTGGAAACAATTTAAGTGTCCATCAGTAGGGGAACATCAACACATCACCTATAGTCACAGGACTGCAGCATAGGCGATACATGTGTCAGCATGAGTAAAGTACACACATAATTTAGAGTAAAAAATGCTGAAATATGATGCCTTTTGTGATACAATTTTTTAAAATGTTCCATATACTACAGTTCCTCATAGAGACATATTTGTAAATTTAATAAATTTAATAAATTATAATTTATAATAAATAAATAATTTAGTAAAAATTTAAAATATATCAACCTCAGGAAAGTGGTAAACCTGTAAACAGGGGGGAAGACTTTATTAATAAAATTAAGACTTATTGAATGAACTTTGCTACTGTTAGGTACTATTCTAAGATCTTTATTTGTATGAACATACTTAACAATAAATCTAAGCAGGGCCTCTCTGGTGGCACAGCGGGCTGAACACTGTACTGTGAGGATGTTTGCAGCCTCTGCAGCATGGGTTCAATTCCTGGCCAGCCAGGGAGAAACCCACATGGCAGATCTCTCCTGCCTCACCCACTGCTCCCCTCAGCAGTTCGGTCCAGCTGCCTGTTCTGCTCCCCACTCTGTCTCTGGTGAATTCTCTCACCCTCCCGCGCCTCTGACTGTACCCCAGTTCTTGTATAAATAAATCTTAAAAAAAAAACAAAACAATAAATCTAAGCAGGACCAAGAATCTGCTGAGAACCCAAAAGTGCACACTTCCAGCCTCATCTTTAAGACAGCTGTGGTTGTATAATTTCCCCAGAAACAATTAGCATCACCCTTTATAGAGAAGAAAACAGGCACAGCAAATCATGTTAGTTGCCTAATACTAAAATTAGTCACATGACTAACAGTAGATAGGGATTTGAACCCAAGTGATCTGGCTCCAGAGTCTATAAGTTTAACCTGTTCCTCTCTCCTGCTGCCAGCCCTTATTCTTTCTATATCTTATGAGAAACGGCAAGTAGAGAGCAGCACTTGGGATTTCAGAGCTATCCTCTGATTTCCCAGGTGTTGAAGGGGTAGGAGGCAGGGGTAGAGTTCAATCTTTCTGAAGCCTACTCTAGAACTCTATCCTTTGTGTGCCATGGTATGAATCCAAAAGGTACAAGGTGGCCATGTTCACCCGTGGCCACCTCCTTCATCTGCCTCTCTCCCTTTTTCAAAAGGTCTCAGGACCCTTGGGCACTCCTCACCATTTCCTTCTTCAGGACCTGCCAGGAGTAAGAGACCATAGCTTTCCTCATGGTTCCTGAGTTTTCAAGTGACAACTAGTCCCTTTGCTTGTCAAGAATCTTTTCCTAAGAATTCAGTTATACTGAAAACAAATAGCTGTCCTCAGTGTCAAAATAAGAGCTCCTTCTACCCTACCAACAACTGTGGGAATAAAATACTGTCCTCAGAATCTTCTGTCACAATGAAGGATTCTAGAAAGAAGAGAGGTTAGTGGGAAGGATTTTGAATCTGGGAATTTAGCACATATAAGCAATATCCTAGTTAATCTTCACAACTACCACAAGGTGAGGGACCTCACACCTACTCCATACAGAAAACTGAGACTCACAATGGCTAAATGAGGGCCAGAGTCATGGGGCACTTTAAAGAAGGTAGGAGGTTTCTGGGCTGGGAGCTGGGACATTCAATACCTCAGCTGGGTAAGATACTGACTACTTACAAGAGTGAGAACAGAGAGAACTGGTTCACCTCCTCCCCACCCCATCCCCATTATCCCCTCCAACTAGAGAAAAGATGCAAAAGAATCCAGGGAGAGACACAAGAAAATTAAGTTTCTGCAAAATAATACAGAGTTTCTGCCTTTCCTATCACAGTCCTAGTTCTGAGGAAATATATACAAGAAGATCCCCTACAAAAGTTTTGGGGTTCTCTGAAAAACTACTGGGTAGGGGCAAGACAAGAAAGGTGAGAGGAGACGGCTGTGAACATGGGAACATGAGTGCCCCCTCAGTCTTCTTGAGTTACCTAAGTGACATGGAGAGGACCTTCCCCTTTTCCATCCAGCCTCCCAGCCATCATCCTCTCTACAGCCCACACAAACCCTGAGCCCAGAGTCCACCACTCCATGCAGGCCACTCCTGCTGGTAGTAATAAAACAATATCATTAAAAAAAAGTTGACCCAGAAAGAACTTATTTCACTTCAAGAGAAGCTACAGTAAAAATAAACAGTGCCAAACCTATACAAATATGTTAACAAAAGAGTTGGAGAAAGAGGCAGGGAACAAGAAAAACAAATGACAGATGAAAGGGATGCCCCAGAAAAAAAATTAACATGAAACAGATGATAATCACGAACAACAAAGACTTCAAAGGGCTTAATGAATTTTAAAATGAGAGATCAAAGCAAAGATGCAATAGTTCAAAGAAGAAATGATGAAACAACTAGAGGAGATGACACTGGTGGAGCTCAGAAAAGAAGTGTTTTAAAAAATCTCCATCGCTTCTCGGCCTTTTGGCTAAGATCAAGTGTAAAAATATCTCAGAAGTAAAAGTCTTTCAGAAACATCAAAAAGAAAACTACCTGTGATGAATAAAGAGGATAGGTTTGCAAAAAAGCAAGTAAAGGAGAATGAACAATTAAAAAGAAACCAGAAACAATTAAACAGAAACCAGAGTGATTAAAAAGAAAATATATAGCTAACAAGAATGGAGATATAGACGTGAGGTACCACAAGTACATGGGTTTCTTTAATGTTTATAGCTGTAAATCTTTTTTTCCCAGTTTTATTGAGATATAATTGACAGATAACATCATGTTAGTTTAAGGTATATAACATAATAATATGATATATGTATATTTATACTGAGAAATGGTTGCTACAATTAGTTAATATTCATCACCTTACATAGTTACAATTGTTTTTTCATGTGATGAGAGCCTTTAAGAGCTAGAAATTTTTTTTTAATAAATTTTATTTTTATATTCCCCATACAATTGCAACCCACTTATTTTGACCCCAATCCCTCCCCTCCCCACCCCCACCCCCCATAGAGAGTCTCTGGCTCATAGTTTTTTGTTGATTTTGATTTTCACTTTCTTATAGTTATTCATTTTCCTGGTCCCTTATTTAAGTTTTCTAGATTCCTGCTATGAGTGAGACCATCCGGTATTTTTCTTTTTCTTTCTGGCTTATTTCGCTGAGCATGATCCCTTCCAGCACCATCCATGTTGCTGCAAATTGCATGTGTTTATCTTTTTTGAATGCTGAGTAATATTCCATGGTGTATATGTACCACATCTTCTTGATCCAGTCATCTATTTTTGGGCATTTGGGTTGTTTCCAAAACTTAGCTATTGTAAACAATGCTGCTATAAACATAGGGGTGCAGGTGCTCTTTGGAATTGATGTTTCTGTGTCCTTTGGGTAATTACCTAGGAGTGGAATTGCTGGATCATATGGAAGCTCTATGTTTAGTAGGTCCAGAAATCTCCACACAACTAAGAGCTAGAAATTTTAAGACACCTTTTAAACCTGATAAATGAGGAAACAGATGTAGAAACATGTTTAAAGATAGAAGGGAACTAACAATACTAAGACTGAATGGGAGCTCTTTCTTTCTCTTCAACAAGAAGGTCTAGCAAACAAGGAGATGCAGATATTTACAAAGACCCTGCATGGCAAAACCATCACCCTTGTGGCTGAGCCCAGTGACACAACTGAAAATGTCAAATGTAAAATCAAAGACAAGAAGGCCATCCTACCTGACCATCAGTGTCTGACCTTTGCTGGCAAACAGCTAGAAGATGGTAGCACTCTCTCAGAAAACAATATTCAAAAAGAGTCCACACTACACTTGATGCTGTGCCTGCAGGGTAGTGTCTCGGGAAGGATGAGAAATGAGAAAAAAAAGAAGTTAATAATTATTCTTTTTTTTACTTGAAAGTGTGTGTGTGTGTGTGTGTGTGTGTGTGTAAGGAGAGTGAGTTTCCTAGCTTAATGAAGTGCAGGATCCATCACAAGACAAAAATTAACTGTATTTTTATATATTATCAAACAATCAGAAATCAAAAAATTTTAAACAGCACTCATAGCAGCAAAACTATCAATTATCAGGGGCCTCCCTGGTGGCTCAGGTGGTTGAGCACAGTGCTGTGAAGCTGTCCACAGCCTCTGCAACGCTGGTTCGATCCCGGCCAGCCAGGGAGAACCCCACATAGCGTAGCAGACCTCTCCTGTCTCACCTGCTGCTCCCCTCAGCAGTATATTTCGTCAATCTGCCTGTTCTGTTTCCTGCTGTCTAACCCTCCCGCGCATCTGGCCCGTACCATGGTTCTTGTATGCATGCATAATTAAATCTTTAAAAAAAATTATCAATCATCAAATACTCAGGTACAAATATATCAAAATATGTACAGGTTCTCAATACTGAAAACTATAAAACATTGATATAAGAACTTTTAAAGGATATCCAAATAAATACTCATATGTTTATGGATTGGAAGGCTTTATATTGTGGTAGTTTTTTTTTTAATTCACAAATTTAGAAATCTAATTGGCTTTATTAAATGACATGAATTTTTGGGGCAGCATCCCATCTAGATAATGCAGGGGATTATACAAAATAGAGGGTATTTATAGACAGAAACTGGTTGGGACAAGGTATTTAGCAAAAGATTATTTCAGGTAAAGTCAACTTTCCTCAGGGAAAGGCAGGGGGATCTCATCAAGCAGATGTCTTCACCAGAACTGACAAGAAAACTCCAGATTGATAGGTTCAGAATTATACTTTTAGGAGAGGGTGAAAATGCAATGAGTCTGAGTGAGGGCCCAGTATGACTGACTCCATTTTGGGCCTGTTTTTTCTACATTAAGATGTCAGTTCTTCCCAAACTGATCTAAGAATCAACGCAATCCAAAGCAAACTCCAGAAGGATTTAATTTTAGATGCTGATGAGCTGATTCTAAAATTTGTATAGAACCAGAAAGGAACTAGAACATTCAAAGGAACTAGAAAAGTCAAAACAATTTTGAAAAAGAACAAAGTTATGTAACAGAATCTCCATAAAAAGAGGAGGTTTCATGCTACCTGTCCCATGTAATGAAGGGTGGAGCTAACACTAAAGAAGACTTGGAAAAGACTTGGGGAAGACATAAGACAACACATGGAGCAGAGAGATATGTGAAGAAGTGACACTTCTGGGCTTGGATTTACACTAGGGACTTGGAGATCATAGAAGGAAACAAATGGGAGTCAAGACGTATAAAGACACTTGGAAGAGACGTGGGTGAGAGACATGGGGGGGGGACTAGCAATGGCAGCCATTATACCTTGATTTGTATTTTGATTTCTCTCTATTCGCTCCTTGCCCGGCCCCTCCTGACCCTTTCCTATGGTTTCCCACCAGAAGATGCCCTGTGGCAAGGTTTTAGGCCTCAAAGGCCCCACTTGGAGCCAACCTTGTTTGGCTGGGTGTTTATCTATGACAGGATGGGTAACTTTGGGTGTTTAATTGGGAAGCTATATCCTCTGTCTTCTTCCCTCTCTATGCACACTGATCTTTTAAAGTTTTTACACACTCAGAGTACACTTTATGTGGCAGGTGGCAGAACCTCTTTGCATGCAAGTTTGGGGTTCTTGGGATATCCATAACAGAAGATTCCCAATACCTAATTTCAAGATTAGTATAAAGTTATAGTAATAAAGACAATGTAGTATTCGTGAAAAGATCTATAAATCAGTGAAACATAATAAAGAGCCCCAAAACAGATCCAAATGTAATCAATTCATTTGACAAGTTACAAAGGCAATTCTAGGGAGAAAGGATAATCTTTTCAACAAATGATCCTAAAAGAAATACAAGTATGTGCCCCAAAAGAATGCCCAACATTTTATACAAAAATTAACTAACTAAAAATCAGCAAATTAACTAAAAATAGATGAGAGACCTAAATGTAGACCCTAAAACAACAAAACTTTTAGGAGAAAACCTAAGAGAAATATTTGAATTTAAGTTAGGGAAAAAATTCTTAGATACAATATTAAAAGCAAGATCCATAAATTTTAAAAACAGACAAATCAGACTTTATCAAAATTTAAAAGTATACCGGTCTGGGGCCTCCCCGGTGGCACAGCAGGTTGAGTGCAGCGCTGTGAAGCTGTCCACAGCCTCTGCAGCGCGAGTTCAATTCCTGGCCGGCCAGAGATCCCCACATGTCTCACCTGCTGCTCCCCTCAGCAGTGTACTTCAGTCCTTCTGTCTGTTCTGCTCCCTGCCCTGGCTCTGGTGAATTCTCTCACCCTCCTGCACCTCTAGCCTGTACCCCAATGCTTGTATAAATAAATAAATCTTTAAAAAAATAAAAAATAAAAAATAAAAGTACCAGTCTGCAAAAGACACTTCTAAGTGAATTAAAAGACAAACTACAGACAGAAAACAAAGGCCTCAGATCCAGAATTATAAAGAATTCTCAAAACTCAACAACAAACAAGTAATTTACATCTAGGTATACACCAAAAATAAATGACAGCAAGGACTTGAACACATACTTTTTTTGTTTTGTTTTTAAATATTTATTTATTTATGCATACAAAAAACTGGGCTATAGGCCAGAGGTGTGGGAGGGTGAGAGGATTCACCAGATACAAAGTGGGGAGCAGAAGAGGCAGATGTACTGAAATACACAGCTCAAGGGAGTTGGGGGCAAGACAGGAGAGGTCTGCTGCACCATGTGGGACACCTCCCTGGTCGGGGATCGAACTCATGCTGCAGTGGCTGTGGATAGCTTAAGAGTGCTGAGACTTAACCCCTTGTGCCAGCAGGAAAGCCCCCTTGAATCCATATTTTTATGCCAATGCTCATAGTGGCATTACTCACATTAGTCAGAAGGTGGAAACAACCCAAATGTCTGTCAATGAATGAAAGGATAAACAAAATATGGTATTGCACACAATGGAATATTAGTCAATCTTAAGCAAGAATGAAATTCTGATACATATTACATATAATATCAATGAACCTTTAAAACATCATGCTAAGTGAAATAAACCAAGCACAAAAGGATAAATATTCTATGATTCCACTTATATGAGGGTCCTAGAATGGTCAAAGTCAAAGAATCTGAAAGCAAAATAATTGCTATCAGAGGCTAGGGGAAGGGAGAAATGGAGGTTACTGCTTAATAGGTGCAGAGTTTCAGTTTGGGAAGATGAAAAAGTTCTGGTGCAAAGCCTCAACAAGACTTAATACCTAACCTGATTGCAGGCTCAGTCTCTCAATTTCAAACCAACCACTATGGAATTTCCTGGTGAGCACTAGTAAGGTAATCTATATGGTAAGATCCTGCCTTCCCCCTGAGTAGGTTGTCTTTGCCTGAAACAAGCTCTCTTTTCTTTTGCTAATAACTTTTTCCCACCCTCTGTCTGACTATAAAAGCTTCCTGTTTTGTACCACTCCTTGGAACACCCTTCTTTCTACCTGCTAACTGGGATGCTGCCTGACTGATGAATCAATTAATAAAGTTAATTAAATCTCTCTATATTTACTCATTTTTGAAAAATATATGGTACAGCCACATTCTTAAGTACAACTAGAAATAAAAATGATTAAATAACTAGTTGCATTTTGTTTCAAGCCAACAGCCTTTTTTCAAATTGACCTTTCCACAGGTACCATTACAATTATTTAGATTGAGAGTGCTCTAAAAATTTTTCAGTTTAGAAGTTTTTCCAGTCCTTTGCCCTGGCCTCTGATGAGTAGGATCTTAATAATCTAAATAGCAACTCAAACCAACACACCCCAAGAAAGTGCAAAAGACATAGCCCTTACAAGATCCAGAAATTCATTCTCAAAGAAGAAAGAAAAGATGGCAACTATAAAGAAAAATTTGTTTTTTAACCAACCGTTTCAAAGCACAGGGGAGCATGTGTTTTTCCTCCTTTTAAACAGAATATGGTAACTTACCAAGAAGCCAAAATATCACCCATTTGTCTTTTAAATTCCCTAAGCTCCTATCCACAGCCTATTGGGCAGTCTGCCTGATGCATCCAGGCACATGTATCCTACCATTGGCAGAGACCAGAAAGAGGTACTCTCACTAATTCTAAAACCCAAAAGTCTAAAAAGTAAAGTCCTATGTTCCATAAGCAGTACCAGAAGGTGATGCACTTGAGTTAGGAAGCAAAAATGTTTAACAGTTCACTGAAAGCTGGCCCAGTCAGACAAAGAAGGGTTTGGATCCCAATCAATTTTTGATTGGTGCCAAAGAGGCATTCCAGTAAAGACTCCTGGATGGCAGAGACAGAAGAGGGGTCACAAAGTCTAGCTCTTGGGCACAAAACCAGATGAAGGGGAAAATCTCACCTACAGTCCCATTAGTTTTTCCTTCTTATAAGAAAGAGACAAGGAAAACAACGAGACAAGGGGAGGAATCAATCATTAAGAGTACCCACACATTTCAAATTTAAAAGATGAAGCATTTACAACCCAACAATATTCAAAACCAAGAGTCATTATGCCCATGGAACTAGTTCCACCAAAAAATTTCTCTCCCAATCTTAAATTTAGAAGAGAGAAAAAGTCTTGTAGGAGGAGCAGTGAAGGGCATCCTCTGGGTCAAGTGGGTGGTGCTCAGTCAATCCCTGGTAAAATGTGGGGCTTTCTGGAATCTATTCCCAATTTCCTGAACAGGGTCTGCTGGAAACTAGGGGCACAGTAGAGCCACCAGGTGAACTTTAAATAGGAGCTCAGGCAAGTTGCTCTCTTTTGGGGCTGGCTTCTGATTGCGCAGGGTAATCTCGGGGGAAAAGGGAGGTCTCAGGTTCCCTGACCCACTTTAAAAAAGGTGGAGCTAGGCAGAGAAATAAGGGTAGAAAAGACTGAGAGGACTGAGAGAGGAGAAAGGACTGGGCTGAAAAGAGGAGAGAAGGGAGATCAAGATGACCTAGAGGAGACACCTGGAGCAGAGAGACATGCTGCGCTTGCTTCTCCACCTTGGACTTGTACCACGGACTTGGGGAACATGGAAGTAGACATTTGAAACAGATGTGGGTGAAGGACTGTGGAGAAGTTAACAATGGCAGCCTTTATCTTGACCTGGGCTTTGATTTTTCTCTTTTCCTTCCATACTTGTCTGGCCCTTTCTGCCCCCTTTCTATGGGACCCAACAGAAGGTACCTTAGATCTATGGCAAGCTTTTAGGCCTCAGTGGTCCTGCTTTGGGCCAATCCTGTTTGGCTGGGCATTTACCCACAAGGAGATGGGTAACTTTCAGTGTTTTGTGTTAAAACTATTTTATCTACTCTTTCCCTTCTCTTCATTGCACATAAATTGTATTAAAAGTTCCTTTCCATTGAAAGTCTTATGCACTAGAGTGTGTTTTGTCTCCATGTGGCGGATGGTAGAACCTATTTAGAGTAGGCAGGTTTGGGGTCCCAAGGTACCCCTCATCCTGCCCTATAACAATTGTACACTGATCTCTGCTCAGCAGGTGCTATCTGCAGGTAAGACAGAGAACATCCAGTGGAGTGGTAGCCAATGACTTTTTTTTCTCTTGAGCACTTCCTTTCCTTGCTCCATATGTAATTAATTTTTTTTTCTTGTTTCTCTCTATCTGCTTTTGGGACTGGTCCTGCATTTTTCAGAATGTGGGTGAGGACTCACACAATCTGGCATCCCTTTCCCCCCTGGGTTTGCCCCAGAACAGGCTCACTAGTTATCTGGACCTCCCAGGGAGAGCTGTAAGAGGCTGAAGTGGTAAACATTTTTACCTTTTTGTAGATGCTTTTGTCAAAAGTCCCAGGATCTCTTCCACTGCCATCATTCACAGGCAAGCAGCATCCAGTCAATGAATTTATCCTGTCAGTGAAACTAAACTGGGGTTCAGGGACAGTGTTCCCTTCCCCTTTCAGTTCCTCTAGACTGACAAATAGTCAAATTAATATCAGACAGACTGACAAGAGAAAAATAACAAAAAGAAGTCTAATCATAACATGCATGTTTCCTGTGTGTATATGTGTGTGTATATATATATCAATTTAGTGTATATATACATATATATATATATGTATGTATATATATGAAAGACCCAGTAAAAACTGAGTAAGTGAAAGGACTTGTCACCTCCTTAAATAACTTCACCTAAAATCAGAGGATATTGTGGGATAAGCTCAGTCGTGGGAGGTTACCAGTAAAGGCACAGTAAACACAGTATGACTGTTATACAGATTTAAGTTGCTGTCTTACTACTGACTAAAAAAAGATTTAGTCCTCTGGTAGAGCAAGGGAAACACTCTTACAAATGGAGATTTTCCTTTATACACTTATAAGTCTCCCTCCACCCAGCTTTCAGAGTCCCTTCTATGAAATAACCCTTATTCCAAACATATATTTAGGGGTGTTCCCTACAGAAAATAAGAGCAATGGACTAGAAGTCAAAAGAATTTTGTCATCATAGAACCACTTAAATTTTTTGTACTTTGGAGTGATCCTTTACCTCTTGGTATCTTGACTAATTATCCTGCAAAATTCAATGCAAATAGACTACATATAAAAATACATTTTAAACTTAACTTGGGTCCTCTGAGTGGGCTCAAGGGTATCTGGAAAATGCCTCTAAATTATATGCAAAGTATGTAAGTGCATCCCTCTTCTAGGAAGAGATATAACTTCAGGCTTTTGGGAGGGTGAGGGGCTTACTGATTCATAGTTTAAAATAACTGAATCAGGGCCTCCCTGGTGGCGTAGTGAGTTGAGAACAGTGCTGTGAAGCTGTTCACAGCCCCTGCAGGGCAGGTTCGATTCCCAGCTGGCCAGGGAGCAGCCCACATGGCCCTGCAGACCTCTCCTGTCTCGCCAGCTGCTCCCCTCAGCAGTGCTTTCGGTCTATCTGCCTGTTCTGCTCTCCACTCTGTCTCTGGTGAATCCTCTCACCCTCCCGCACCTCTGGCCTGTACCCCAGCTCTTGAATAAATAAAATTTTTTTAATTAAAAAAAGACTTCCTTTAAGAAAAAAAAGAAAAAGAAAAAAGAAAATGACTGAATCAGACTTAATCTCTAAGGTTCCCTTCCATTCTCGCATGCAGTAATTCTGAAAGATCTCTAGCTATCCCATGACTCCAATAGGGATGGAAGAAATAAACTAGAACATTTCCTGATTCCAGTTATCACAAGAGATCATTCCCTTTCCTGAGAGAAGGATTCAATTTTTCAATACGAAATTCTGAGCTCTTTATGGCCAGCTTTTCCACTTTTTTCAAGAATAGCTGGAAATCCAGATCTGCATGTGAAATCTCCCAATTTTTACAAGTCAGTAACTTTAAAAAATAAAAGACCTTAGAAATGATTTTTAAGAAGTGGAAATTGTTCTGGGAGGATCTATTTCTATCTATCCTAAAGAGTACATCCTATGGAAGAGGTCAAGTCTTACATCGGGGTGACTGGTGTATTGGTGATTGTTAAACAAGCCCACTCACCCTGCAGAGTTCAAAGTTACCTGTGTGTGTGTGTGTGTGTGTGTGTGTGTGTGTGTGTGTGTGTGTGTATGAAAGACCCAGTAAAAACTGAGTAAGTGAAAGGACTTGTCACCTCCTTAAATAACTTCAACTAAAAACAGAGGCTGTTGTTCAAAGTCTTTCATATGTCTCTCATAGGTCTTTCTAGGTGCAAACCTATTTGTGAGGCAACTGTCAAACAGAATATAATATCACTTACCAAAGTGCTGTCAGAACTACTTGCTTTTAAGTGCATCGTTTCACCGAATTCCCTCACAGCTTCTTTGAGGTAAGTTCTATTACATCCGCATTTTACAGATAAGGGGCAAATTTCTTTGTGTGTGCTGAGCATCTTAGTTATATCTGTCACACTCGCGATAAGGTGGGTGCTACTGCCCTCCTCTTCTGACGAAGCTACAGAACTTTCTGAGAAGGGCCCTAGCCAAGTCCTGAAAAACTCGCGGCTCGATATCATCCTAGCCAAGGTCAAGGAGAGCGGCGCGCGGGCAGGGGGAGGCACGGGTCACCTGTCATTCTGAGAGGAAAAGAACCCCGCTTTTCTTCTTCCGCAGCCCTCTTCCTTCTCTGCGTGTTCCTCCCGCTTCGCCTCCTCGTCCACAAGGCGAGCGGAGAGGCCCAGACGCAGCGCCTTCCGCCACGTGCTCTCATGGGCTCGCCGCGCCTCAGTTCCGGCCTCCTCCCGAGGCTTCGCGCGAACGCTAGGGGGCGCCGCTCTCTGGAGCCAGGGCCGGGCTCCCCGGCGCTCGCGCGCTGAGCGGCTCATAGAGGAACCAGCGGCCACTTCCGCTTCCGGCCGGCCCCGGCGCTGCAGTCGGCGCGGTCCTGGTCAGCATCAGGTGGGCCTCCCTCGGGTTCCGCGGGCTCTGCCTTTCGGCTGAAAACGCCTCCCTCCTTACCCCACCTCAGCGTCTACTCGGTGCTGAGCCCACAGTCGGCCGACAAAGAGTGACGTTCAGACCCGGAGTCATGGCAGCGACCGAGGGAAGCTTGGCGGCTGCTGGTACCTCCGCGCCACCACTGGAGAAACAGGATGGAGACGGCCCGAGCTCGGGCCCGGAAGCCAAGTGTGGGGGCCCACCGCCCGCCCCCGAATCCTCCAGCCCCAATGCCGCGGACCCCGAAGTGACTCCACCCCCCGCGGCGGCCTCCGCGGCCCTAGAACTGCCCCTCGGGCCCGCACCACTGGGTCCCGCGTCGCTTGCCGAGGCCGCCCCGCGCTCGCCTCCGGGCCTCGGCGGCTCCCGGCCCGGCCCCGAGACGTTCCGCCAGCGTTTCCGCCAGTTCCGCTACCAGGACGCGGCAGGCCCACGCGAGGCCTTTCGGCAGCTGCGGGAACTCTCCCGTCAGTGGCTGCGACCTGACATCCGCACGAAGGAGCAGATCGTGGAGATGCTGGTGCAAGAGCAGCTGCTCGCCATCTTGCCCGACGCGGCGCGGGCCCGGCGCCTTCGCCGCCGCACCGATGTGCGCATCACCGGCTGAGCTGCCAGCGGGCCGGGCCGGGCCGGGCCGGGCCGGGCGCTCCCTGGACTGGAGCCATGATTGCCATGATTGGAGGGGCTGAACCTGGTTCCCCACTCCGCGTTCATAGAAAACGAGTTTTGGTGGATCTGGTAGTCTGTTGTGTCTCTTTCGTTCGTCCTTTACTGAGTTTGTTTTCCCGAGCCTGTTTCCAGCCTACTTTCTGGCTGATGGCGAAATTGAGAATAAAACCTTTGTTTGCTATTTGCTTGGTTTTCGTTGGCTTCTGTGGGATTATTACCGGTCCCCTGGGCCTCCACCACATCTGGGAAATTTTTCTGCTACTCACTCGCCCAGGACTGACTTAGGCTTCCTTTGTTTAGTTGGAGTAGATGTAATTGAGGGTTCCAGCGTCCTGGGTTCCATATTCATTCACCCCTTAACCTTCAGCTAGAATCAGAACTTGTTTTCCTACTTGGCTAAAGATGCCTTGCCTTTGGTTGTGGGATCCTGCAGGGCAAATACTTGGTTCTATTAAGTGCTTATTAGAGGGCTACAGGTTCTTTACCAATAATGCCGCCACAATCAGCCTGTGGGCACAGGCTTTCCGAAAGGCCCACGCTATAGGTTTATTTGAATGAGATGTGTTTAGTGCGGGTCCTTGCAGAGAGAGGCTAGATCATGTTTGTCATCTCTGCTTTATTCATCAAGACTCACCAACTGCTTCCCTTTGTTAAATAAGCATAATTGTTTAGAAAGGGAAGAAGGAAGTATGCAAGTAACTGACAAACTACTTTATGGAAAAGCCCTGCCATGAAATCTTCATGTTTTTTTTTTTTTTTTTAAAAAGATTTATTTATACAAGCACTGGGTACAGCCAGAAGCGCGGGAGGGTGAGAGAATTCACCAGAGCCAGAGCGGGGAGCAGAGCAGGCAGAAGGACGAAGCACACTGCTGAGGGGAGCAGCGGGCGGCAGGAGAGGTCTGCGCACCATGTGGGACCCTCCTCCTGTGGCCAGGGAGCAGCCGGGGATTGAACCAGCGCTGCAGAGGCTGCGGGCAGCCCCGCAACCCAGCACTCAACCGCTGCACCACCGGGGAGGCCCTCTTCATCTGTTCTTGCATCTACTGTTCCCTGAATCTTCTGCCCACCCAGGAAGGTGCTAATTGGGATCCATAAGCAGTTTGGGTTGGTCCCAGAATGCCCTACTTGCAGTCATCTTTAAAGAAAGAAAGGCCATCTCATAAGGAAGGCCAGACCTGTCTTCCCTGCACTTGCTTTTAACAACCAAAAATCTATTAAGCCTGCAGCTTGAACAACAAATCTTAGACTGGGTATAGAGACTGGTGAGGGGCATTTTACTTGAATATTAAGACACTTAAATTAATTCAAAAGTATTTTGCATACTTTCTTGAGATTCAGGATCTTGAACTTGCATCTGCCTCCCTGCAGATGAATCTTTAGATTGTAAAAGCAGACTTCCTTTCAAAAGTAGTGACTATAAAAAATTAAGTAATGGATATTAAAAGTGGGGTAGAGAACTTTAACAATTCGATAACATTACTGAAACATAGCAACAAAAACCTGTTTATTTTTTCCAAATACATACAGAAGTTTGCATGTTTTGCAAATATTGCCTCAAAGCAACATTTCTATATACAGCGCCTTCTGTTCTAATAGCGCGTAAACATAGATACATAACCACAGTGCAATGTTAGCTCGTCAAGGGTCTACCTTGCATACACTCATCACTTAAAGAAACAAAATGATTACTCAAACCAAAACTGTGTTTGTCAAGGCAATTTTTTATAGATGGGTAGTTTTTTTTCTCAAAAGAAAACTTAGGTAGTGTACATATTTCTAAATGGTAACAGTAATATTTGCAAATAACAGTTATCCAGTGCTCCAACTTGGGGTTAATACAACTTGACCCAGGAATGGGGGGAGGGAGCCCCTCAACATGGCTTTAAATTAGGAAAGCACACTGAGGTTATTGGAATTTAGTCTTCCCTTGCTTCCCTAAGAACAAAAATCACAATGAGTAATATGGGATTGTTTCCTTTATAAAACTTAAATAAACAAATAATGGCCACTTGACAAAATTAGGATAATTCCACTTCTGCTCTCATCTCTGAAAAAAGACATGAGACTGACGACCTTAAAATTACAGTATCCCCAGATGTGATACTCAAATGTATTTTCAGGAAAGAAAAATCAGTATACAAGAGTGATAACCTCACAGTTGTGGCTATAGAAAATCATCCTGTTTCTTCTCTTTTCAGACAAGCATGACACAATTCTTTTAAAGTGGCTGTCTAATAATTTATCCAAAACACACCACATGTACTCCTTGAGCATTTCTTCCTGAATCAGAAAAACCAACATTAGCAATGGGAAACAGCCTTTTGTAGAGGAATTGTGTCAGCTTTATTACAGATATTACAACCACATGAATTCTCTTTGATGAATAAGCTACAGCAGGTCAACTTCTCCTCACTTCATTCTGTATCAAATGGTGAATAAATCACTAGGCAGAGCATTCCCTGAAGCAGATCTTGATACAGAGGCCTTCACGACCACAATGACCTGTGCCTTAAAGCCTAACCATTCCAAAGGTTGCAGGAGATACTGTCATTGCTATTGAGATATTGGCTACTTCACGTTTACATAGTAAATATTTGCAGCATATAACATTACAGATTCATAAACCCATAATTAAATTGTGAATGTTAATGGACAACTGTGCTTTGATTTCTGTCTTTAGTAATTACAAAAAAAAAACTAACTGTGAAACGGGTCACTCCTCAAATATGGAACGTTTTCTTTAACATTGCCGAGTAAGGAATAACAATATAGTAATTACATCTGACTGTTGACTGGTAACCTGCAAGAGTAACAAAATATCGTCTCAAAAGGTACAAATAGGTTGTACCTAAACCTTAAGCAGCATAATCACCTTGATCTCACAAAATTATACAAACAGGAATTTAAAATGATTGAGGATATTAAAACAACTCTGAAAATGCCAACTACTGAACATACACCCTTCAGTAAAGGAGAAAAGCGGCACATGTAGAATTTTAAGTTTTTTTTACAACAATATAAAATAAGGTAAGTCCCCAAACCACATTCTTTGTAACAAATCTTTACAGTGAAAGAGTTCAAAATTTCGGGAAACATTTCTTGAACATTAAATAGAACTGGGAAGTTGTTTTATTAATAAGTGGGTAGAAAATGCTGTCCTTTGGGTTCCAGACCCTGCCTGCTTCAGCTTGGAATTCCTTCCATGTTCTTATTACAGAGAGATTCTAGTTCCTCCACAGGCTGTGTGGGCTCTGCTACAAAAGACACAGCCCAGCCAACTCTGGGGTGAAAGCATATAAAACTTGTCCCCAGTGGCATAATGTCATGCAAGAGATGTGATGAAAAAAATGAAGAGTCCCAAGGAGATGGAGGGTAGCCAAGGCCGCTGCTCCTTCCTCACCTCCACAGAATGGCAAAGTCAACATTCCCACATAGCTGAAAAAAATGAAAATGATGCCTGCTGCCTAAACCCAGGCCAGGCGGAAACCAGAAGGTTTGGCAAGTGCCCCAACCTGACAGAAAAGTCAATTAAATAAGTTGCAAGTTGAATTTACAACTGTTTCCAACTAAATATTTTTGGCTCTCATTCCATTTATCATCAGTGGCACGATTTCAAGTGAAGTTTGTGCAAAAAGACTCACTCTCCATTCAACGATGTGCACAGATGAAGGGAATCCCAAGAGTCTATTTGCCATCTTCTTGGTAGGCTTTGAGATCATAGTGCCCTCCCCTCCAGCAGCCAAAATGACCTCTTTGCTCAATGTCCATCATACCCCCTTCCCGGATCCCTGAAGTCACTCAGTATCACATGCATTCGGCATGCTAGGTTTATTTATTTAAATATGTGAAGTTCCTCCTACAGGTGCCCCAGGATTGTGCCCCCAATATTTCTGGGGGCCCAGTTTCATGTTGAGCAACAGAGTGCAATCTGCTGCACCTTTCCCAGGTCCGTCAGCAGCTGCTTGATGCAATGCTTGAGCTGCGGAAGCCTAGCCAATGGCTCCGGGGGCTCCAGTTCCCCAGTGTAGTCCAGCCAGCTCTCCAACACTAGGCAGAAGAGAGAGAGAAGACCTAGTGAGATTCCAACACGTGATCTGCAAGAATGTCACTAAGAATTTCAGCACTTTAGCCCATCTGATCATATATGGGGGAAGAAGAGAGAGGGCCATTTCAGGCAACAATGACTCATCATCCTCTCTACAAAAGAGGCTGACCTTGATCATGCTCACCTGTCCTCCAGAACCATCTGTTACCCTAATATCTGGGCGAAATACCCAGGGCTATACAAATGTCTACTACACAAATGTCTCAGTCAAGTTCTTAAATTTCTACTGATAAAAAGGTGGCTGCATTTTAGGTTTTATCAGAAGCTGAAATAAAAGTCTTTTTCTATTAATCCTCAGTTGACTCAATTAAGTCAAAAAATTGGTGAAGATTTGCTCAGATCACCCATTTCCTGCAGGCATAATCCAGTTACTGTACCTCCTTTGCAGAAGGATTGGGCAAGTGAGGCAGGATCCCTGACATCACAGAGACTTTAGAAGTTCCCAATAAATACTAAAAATAAGGCTTATCCAAGCAAAGGAGAATGGAAGTGGGTAAGGCTGAAAGGAGGAGGAGACAAGAATACAGTTGTCATTGGGGAGCAGGATTGCGGGGTTCCGAAAACAGCTTGTGAGCCATTGGGAATACAAGTTGGCAGTGCCTGCCAACTGGCAAGGAGCCAAGAAAGAGTCCTACCATCCAACTCCTTTTCAATGGAGTCCATCCTATGTGTGACCTCATCCTGAAGAGATTCCACATGAGTCAGCAGGTTAAACTGCCACTGGTGCTGGGAGCTCAGCAGCCCCTCTCCACCTCTGTCCAGCAGTTTCCGAGCAGGGGCTTCCTCTGGTAGGACCTTTTTGGAGATAAAATCCCTCACCTGGGGATGCAATGGCATTTAGGTTACTGGGTGGAGTAACACTATATAGTGTTTGCAACTATATAGAAACCAGTTTAGTTTAAATACTCTAAGTCCGTACATTTCCCTTTCCCTCATCTTGGACATTGGCTAAAAGCATGTCTGTCGTAATATCCCAACCCCAGGGCAGCACAGATCTCTGATGCAGAGGATACCACAGTTGTTTCCCACAGACTGGCCCAATATGCCCAGGCCTGAAGCAGGCCTCACAGAATGGTTTTCAGAGCCCTGAGATCTGACTAGAACAGGAATGTTGTAGAAACTTCTAGAGTAGAAAGGTAGAAAAAGGGTTAGTTACATGGGAGTTACACAAACTAATTTTAAGTCCTAGCTTTGACTCTTGCTGAGTATGTGAACCTGGATAAGCTAATTCACCTCTCTGAGCCTGTGTTCTCTCAAGGGAAAGATGGAGATAGTAAAACATACTTTAAAGGTTCATAAGGAAAAAAATAAAGGTTCATGAGGATGAAATAGATTAAAGTTTATAAAAACACAGTGCCAGAGTACAATTAGTCTACCATCAATGAAAGATTTTTAACCCTAGTTGCCTTCGTTACACCCAGTATTTCCTGGTCTTTTATTATGTGCCAGATGCCTCTAGGAAATCTGTGTAGTATGCAGGATCACAAACCTTTTTGGTGTTTGTGATCTCAACCTTTCATCTGAAATGAAACAGATTCTAACTAGTATTTTTTTAGATCTTATTAAGCAAAGTAATGAGCTGAGAGCTTTTCACAGCAACACTACACAGTAACTAAGAG